TTGCTNCTGCTGCTGCGGCTGCTGAGCTTGTACGTCATGAGAACCCCGCGTTCCACCAGTGGCATCGGACCTACAATTGTATGGTCGTCATTTTATCTCTTGTTGTTGATGTTGTTTTTTTTATTTCTTTCGTACTAGCTTTAACTTCTCTTCAATGCAGCACACGACGAGTACAAATGAAAGCGCACAACATCAAAGAACAAAATAAAATATAAAAAGAAAAGAAAAAAAGAAAAGAAAAACCATCCCAAGGAGAAAACAGCAGGAGCAAGACAAACACACCCACCACACGCATGGGGGATGAATGATAAAAAAAAAAAAAGGGCGGCGTGCCCGCCATGAAGCAGCTTATCATCTCCCAGGGGCACATAGTACATTACACACGCACAGGCTGATATATATATGTTTATGCCCGGGTTGATGTTTTCATTCAAAATCTACCTGTTTTTCACTCTTCTCTCTTGTTTATTTTGCTTTTGTTTCACTTTTCGTTTTGAATCTCCCCGTATTTACATCCAACAGAAAACCACCCCTCCCCACGGGCCGCTTTCATAATCTACTCTCTCTCACCCCCCGCCACACCTCACGAAAGAGACTGCCCAAGGGTGTTCTTCCTTGACGAGTGCATGTCACCAAAACGACTTTCGGAACCCCGAGCATCCCTTCGAGTCATTCATCTCAACCACTGCCAGACGTTTCTCACGATCCACGGTGTTCGCCACCGACGCCTGAAGAGTGTCCTTCGACAGGCAGTCCGTCTGAAAGCGGCACCGCGTCGCCGCAGGTAACATCGGCGGGGGGTCATACGGTGACACAACACACCGTGGCCCCACAGCCTTCCTGAACCGCTGCAGAAATTCCTCCGTCCACTTAATGCGGTACTCGCGACCACGAAACTCCAAAAAAGCGATGCCAATGTCGATGCGAAGCACCGTCTTAGGGTTGCGAACAAGATACTTCCCGATTTCACGCGTGGAGTCTTGAATGGCCGCCTCCACCACAAATCGATCAGTGCCAGTCGCATCCGCAATGCCTGAGTAGCTGATGTAGTGGGGCACGGTGGCATGATAGTGAGCGTCAGCAGTTGTGAGAACATTCTGCAGGTGAAACTTTGAGATAAAGTCCGGTAAAAGTACAAACTGAGGCTTGTAAAAGTGACAAAAGCCATCAAAGTACTGAGCTTTCTGCACTTTGACGCTAGCATGGAAGAAGTCTGTCACAATGCAGGACCTTTTCGTTATGAGCTGCTCCTCCAACAGCTCCCCCATCGAGCGCCATATACGGTGCAACAAGTCTGTTCCACCTCTGCCTTTTGTCTGATGGTAGTACAGACATTTAATGCTGGAAACAACATCCGCAATCTCCGCGTAGCACGCGTAACAGCTATTGCTATCCATGATGGCCCTATTATTCACCTTTCGACTTCGTAGCCCCCCCTCCCTCTCCACTTCACTCCGCCGCAGGCGGCAACGTAGGCTTCGCTGAGTACACACCAACTTGTGACGGTTAACCGGGCCCTCAAAGCAACACGACAACAGCCACGCTGCAAGCTGTTTACCCTGTGCTGTACACTCCTTTGATGTAAA